GTGGATGACTTCTCGTTCGATCCTACTTGGTGTTCTATGCTGATTTTGTAGTTGTGCTATAGCGGCTTGTTGAACCTGTAATATTTCGAATATCAATTGGAGGCTAACTCCACCATCTTCTCCGCCATGCGTACCTTGACCACCTGATCGAACTTTCCTACATGCGCTACCTTTGGGATCAACTCCCAAATTTGTATTTAGGGCGACATGTGAACTGACATCGACGGGATTGGCAATTGGTGCTCCCTTGAGGTTAGCCTGGGGCACCTCGATCCCTGAGGCGGCTATATTGTCATTTTTCCCGTGAAATCCGAGGTCGTTATCACCATGTGTAGGCACTGCTTGTGAGTTTGATATGTTTATCCCGAAAACAAAGATTCTTATGAGAACAAGTGTAAAACAGTGTGTGTTATCGGAATTAGTATTAAGCAATCACTATTATCCTTGGCTCCACGGTGAGCACCAAACTGTTTACCCTTAAAATTGAATAACAATTAAACTTATAATGTGGTTCTAAGGACACGTGATTTCACTTAATACCAATTGATAAATATGGAGATTAATAACAGAAATGAACTATAAAATAAAGCAAACCAGTGTTAGAATGGAACTCAGCCCTCGAGTTTGGATACCCTCGAACTGGTTGATGTAAGAACAATTAAAATATAACAAGCTGATGAACAATAGTATAAACGAGAAAGAGAATTATATTGCTTCGATATCTGTGAACAGTGTGTCCACCAGATGATTAGAACCCCTCCCCCCTTAAATAGTAGAGGAATTCCATTTATGGTATACTTTTAATTACAAAAGGAAATCCTATGATTAGCTAATTAATTATTTCTGATTTTATCCGTTCCGAGATTTATGCCATGATCCTCGACCAGTCATGGATATCTCGTCTTTCTGTTATTGTGCTATTTTCGATCTTGCTCGATGTCTGTCTCATTTGGTTTCGATCGCTACTAGCCTCGATCTCGATAGGTACCTCGATTCTAAACTCGGTATCTCATCCTCGCGATTTAGTCTGTTCCGTTACGAGGCCATCCTTCAATGCAATCTCCCGGTCTCGGTCAAATAGTAAAATCGGGTAGGCCCGATTTTAATCGTATACAGTGATGTCTTATGTAAAAGAGCAGAGCTAGAGTTAAGGGTACGAGCTCGCTGAATTCAATAACTTTGGTCCGAACTCTCTCTCTCTATATATATAAATTTCGGAATACTANATATATATATATGTAGACTTTTTTTATTTCCATGTTCGGGGTGAAAACAACAAGGTTTAGTTGAACCTGCTCTAGATTTGCGACTGCACCCAATGAATTGGACTTGATTTGCATATTAAAACTATATGTCTCTATTGAATTTGCACCCATTGTTTAATTTGCAATTGTTGTCTTAATTATAAGCTTAGATTCGCCTTTGTTTTAACGTAATGAATCTCTTGGAACTGTTTAAGAAAAAGTATAAGCGTCTTAATGATTGGGTACTCGTTGCAGAGTACAATCAGAAGAAATTAAAGGAAACGTTTTAGTTGAGATATTTTTCACCTTCAAGAATTTCTTTTCGGAAAAATGACAAATGTTAATAGCACGGGCTAGCCAGTTTTCGAACTGGTAATTCAAAAATAGCCAGCGTTTGCAAAGTTAATGAAAAATAGCTACTATTTTACTGCAACACGGACCGGTCCAACATAATATACTGGAGATTGGAACACCTGCGTATGAACTTCCATTATATTATGCTGCAACTACAGTATATTATGCTGGAATATTTTCCGGATTTTGAACAGTGTTTTCGTTCAGATTTATCTTTACATGAAAAATGGCTAGATTTCGATTACTTTTCAAATTGTAGCTATTTTTCAATTATCACTTGTAAATCTAACTATTTTTGAATTTCTGCGGAGATAAGTATATTTCTGATGGATTAAAATGGGCCAACAGTCTAGTGTCCTTTGGGTGTAAAAAGGATGATTTCTGCCTTTCCTTTTTTTCTCTTCAAAATTTTTCCAGCGGATCCAAAGCTTTGACAGCAGTTCCTTAGAATCCACCCATCCTTCAACTTATTAAATTATGATTTATGTATATAGAGTTAAAAGAAATTTTAAGAATTATATCTATACTATTCCCATTAACTACCAAGAAATAATAAATAATGCAAGTAGTACTCTGTAGCCCCTGATTTTTAAAATTGCCTCTAATTTTCTTTTACATATAGTAGTAGTTTTTCACTTAACTCTAGTATAACTTTGAACCTTACTTTTGAGGTGTTTTACCAAATTAAAACCAACCCTCTCGTACCGTCCGGTCCATTATATTTGGTGTTTTTGTCTTTAAAATAAGTGGTGTTTTACTTGATCAAGAAGGTATTATTTTACACATTCCTAAGAGGTCTTACTTAATTACAATTTCTTATGAGTACATTGAATGGGTAGTCTTACTATTTCTTCAAAGGCATTTAATATGCACATAATATTATGCCGTATTTCTTTCATACTTGATATGCTTGTTTTCTTATAAAAACTTGATTAAGGGTAATTTACTCAAAAATAGTTTTAAATTTTAGAAGTAATTAGTTATTTAAAGGGCGTGCCAAATAAAAAACACCAAAAAATATGTAGTAGAGAGAGTAAACCGCATTAGTGGTGGATCACTGCTGTAGGCCCTAATTAAAGCCTAAGTAGCTTTCTTGGCTTTCTTTTGTTTTTTTTCTTTTTTCTGGGACGATAGCACTTTAGCTTTTACCCACTACAGTGTGCCTGGGATCGCCCAAATATTTGGTGCAATAATTTTTCAACATGAAAGAAGGCAACAGTTTCAGACCCAGACAATAAGTCAAAGATACCTACTTGACTAAGGCCCCAGTTGGTTTCAATCTCAACAATTCCAACCCACTAGATAACACTCTAAAAAGAATCTAACTTTCAAATATTAACGCTGTTTTTAAGCTATCAATATAATTTAATTTGTTACTTATAAGTTATTATATGTCTTAATTTTACGTATTATAAATATTGACTTATATATATATATATATATTTTTTTTTTTAGATGACCTGAAAGTGTAAGACGACATCGCATATTTAGTCAGGGGCGGATCTACCCTCTGAGGTAGGGGGACCACGGCACCCGCTCGCTTCGCTAAAATTTTTACTATGTACATAGTATGTCTGTGAAGAAATGTATAAATGGATAGAGTGGCACCCAAAAGTCACAAAGTGAAAGTGGGTGCCATTGGTTCAGCCATACCTTTAAAGGTTTTCTTTGGCCTCATGAATGCAAGTTCAATTCCCTGTTGGAGCAGCTCTTTTAGGTTTTCCTTTTTTCTACTTATTAAGATTTCCTTTATTTTCAATTGAGCCCTACGGCTTCACCTTCTTTTTCGGTTCTTTCCCTCCTTTTATTACTTGCTAAGTCTCTCTTCTTTAGTTTTTAAATTTTCAATTCTTATTTTGTTTCTATCATTATACCTTACTTTATGAACAATTATTTTCTATAGGTAATTTAAATTGATTTTAATTAGCATATAATTTCTTTATTTTAATGAAACGATATTAATTTATATAGTGGAATATAATTTGAGCAATATCTTCTATTGGGTTTTGAAAAAAAAATTAAATGGCTTGATTGATAGTCGTTTTGAGTTGAATATCATAGGTTGAATGTTGAAGGTTTTCTTTGAAAATAATTATCATATAAGTCAACAATTAAGATGGAAAAATAAACAAAGAACAATACAAGTAAATTAATCTAGTCAAACAAAGAATATGTAGTGTAGTTAAGGTACTCTTTAAGCAAATATTTATATTGGAGGTGCTCTTTCATGAAATGTTATTTTTCTTTTGCATTTTTATTTAGAATGTGTATAAATTAAGCGTTAAAAATTTGAACTAAAATCGAACTTATTTGCTTTGTTAATGAAAGGCCTATTCAAATTAACCAAAAACTAACCGAACCAACCCATTATTCCTAATCTGTCTTTGTAGCTACTGATATGTATATTGTATGCATAACATGTATTTTGTATGCATAACATGGTGGCACCCGCAACCTTCGAATCCTGGATCCGCCGCTGTGTTTAGTGCATAGAAGTTAAAGGAAAAATGACATTGTATAGCTGCTATCACAATAATAGTCGAAAAATATTTATTTTTTTGTATNTATATATATATATATATATATATATATATATATATATATATATATACAAAAATTATACAAATTTTTGTACACATTTTCGGCTACCGAAGGTAAATAATTTTTGGCACGGGCTAAACGTGATAATACCGTAGTTTGTGTTTGGCTAATGAGTTTGAAAAGTTCTTTTAAGTATTAATTAGTGTTTCGCCAATAATATATTTTTTTAAATTTCCCTCCCCTTTGATCTCCTTTGTTGGTGCTATTGCCCCCTTTGGTGACTTGAACCCACGATCCTAGAGATATAGGTGAGGGTGTTGATCATCTGACCAAGTTTTTAAAAAGTACTTTTAAAAAAAAATACTTTTGGGAAGAATCTATTATTTTTTACTTCTCAAAAATTATTTCTGCTACTACTCAAGAGTACATTTTTTTTTCTAAAAGCTTGGACAAAACGACTTAACTTTACAAAAAAACATTTTTAACAAAAAAGAAGAACACTTTTATTTTAAAAAAAAACTTAGCCAAACAGGCTACTAATAATTTAAATGATGTATTTTTCTTTTTAGTCTGTTCTAAAATACATGACACATTTCTAAATTTGAAAATAATTCAACTTTAAACTTTTTATTTTACCCATTTTATCCTTAATGAGAAGCTTTTATAACCACACAAATGTCATGACCCCATAAGACTTTTACCCCTTAATTAAGCTTTTAAGATGACAAATTTCAAATTTTTTTTCTTAAACTCCGTACCGAATCAAACTAATTCATCTGAATTGAAACAGGAATACATGTTTTTGTAGGTCATCTCAAACTGATGACGTAAAAGAAAAAGTGAAACTACCGAGAAGTTAAGTTGCTAGCATAAAAGGAGGTCCAAAGCTAAAAATAATAAGACCCCGCCATTCTTCTTCAAAAGCAATTCACACACACTACTTCACAAACTTGCCCCCAAGTAGTAATTAACTATTTGGATATCATGGATAGCAAATGGTGTGAGAAAAGCTTGGTTAATTTGCCAGAAAGTCCAAAAGCGCCCATGGAATTCTTGTCAAGATCATGGAGTGCCTCTGCTTTGCAAGTTTGCAAGGCCTTAACTTCTTCTTCTCCTTCTCTTCTTCCCAAAGCTAGCATTGCCAATTCCTGTGCTAATATTACTACTACTACTACTACTACTCACTCCAATAACACAAACAGTACTAGTAGCAGTGTTATTACTATACCTGAGAATATCTCTGCTGAGGAAGAAGACTCTGCCAAACTTGCTGGAAATACCTTCTCTTTTGCTTCATCTGCTACTTCTCAACTTGTTCTTGAACGCATTATGTCTCAATCTGTAAGTACTCTTCACAATTTTCTTATATTCCTCGCATTGTTCCTCCACTTAGAAAAGAATGTGTTTATTTTCTAGGAGTCTTTAGTTATGTCACAGATTTATATGCTAGTTGAAAACACTAAGAACGTCTAGTATTATTATTGGACTGAAATGAGAGCGGTGTGGATTCATATAATCAACCAAATTTGTTAGAGAGTGAGACGTAATTATTATTATTGGAAAAAATGTGTTTCATCAGAATAAAATGAAAAAGAGAAGGGGTATTTCTTTTTTGTTTCTTTACAGAGGATAAATACAGCATATTAATCTTTTTATAACCTAATCTTTTCCTTTTTTCCCTTTTTTTTTGTTGAAATTGTTAGATGCATAATGGGCAGGAGATATCACCTTTAACTTCAGGAAGATTGTCTCATAGTAGTGGACCTCTCAATGGTTCTCTAACGGAAGAAACTGATAGCCCTCCAGTCTCTCCTTCTGAAGAGTTTGAAGATGTTGTTAAGGTAATTAATTTCTGTCATTATTAAGCTTTTATTTTTCCTAATTAGTAGTATCTTGATCACTTTATTTTGTTAATTAAAACAACCCCCAAGTGCATATCTTTTTTGTCTTAAATGCTAGTAGGTCCGTATAGTTATTAGTTAATGATGATGGTTGTTGTTTCTTTGATTGTGAGCTAATAGAAATAATTAAGGGGTTCCATCGGACCCATTTCCAAAGCTTTTTCTAGTGTTCAAAAAGTTAAGAACATAATGCACTTTTGTTAATTTCGATATTCAACTTTTCTTGCTTTACGTACAAGGATGCTTTAGCCGTCTAATCAGAGCCACCTTTTGACTTCGTTTGTGGAATAACTCGACCACAAAAGGCGAAAAAGAAAAAAGAAAAAAGAAAAAAGAAAAAAAGGAAAAAAGAAAAAAGAAAAAAGAAAAAGATGTTAACTTTGGTTTTATACGAGACCAAGAAAGTAAAACAAAAATAAAAGTGAAACCAAACTTATAAAGAAGTTAACTTTGTTTCATACAAGATTAAGAAAGTAAAACAAAAATAAAAGTGAAACCAAACTTATAAAGAAGTTAACTTTGTTTCATACAAGATTAAGAAAGTAAAACATGAACAAAAGTGAAACCAAACTTTTTTAGAAAAGGCACGTAATGGCCCTCGACCCATGTTAGGGGAACTCATTTCCTCGTTGGTCTGGCTAGATTATAGAAATGAATTTAACTTATACTATATACTGTCATCCGTTCCAGTTTATGTGAATTTTTTTTTTTTTGGTCCGTTTAAAAAAGAATGATCCATTTCTAAATTTGAAAAATAATTTATCTTAAACTTACAATTCTATCCTTAATGAGAAGTTTTTATAACCACACAAATACTCTGGGGCTCTTTTTGACTTGTTTAGGATCACAAATTCCAAAAATCTTCATTTTTTTCTTAAACCCCGTACTCAGTCAAACAAATTCACATGAATTGAAACGGAGGGATTAGTACATACACTGACATTGTAATTTTATATTTTTAATACAAGCAATTACTTATAATTATACGTATGTAGCTTTATAGCGTAAACTTTTCTTAAACTTAAACTTGATAAGAATTACGTACGTCTCCCCTCTTGAAATACAACAACATTAATAGCCATGTCTTGGTAAAAGCCGTTGGATTTTAGACCGGAACACTTTGGTTTATTCAATAGTGGAATCTCGTAACAACAGAACCTGATATACAAAATGTACCTCATACGTTGTTTTTATGTAGCACGTGAAGATGTCTTGGGTAAACTAGGCAATTTTATTATTATTATTATTATTATTATTATTATTATTATTATTATTATTATTTTTTGTCTTAATTAGCTTGCACAAGAATATGCAACAAGTAAGATTCAAGATGACTGAGATCTTATGCTGCAGTTTGTCCTATTTTAATTATCATCATCAGGACAGAAACTTTTGGAAAAGACTAGTAGAGTGTGTAAATGGTAAATAGATGCTCTCTGACAATCTTTATCATATATTGTCATTGCTTCCAAGTTTCAGAGTTTTGGCTTACTTGTTTAGTTTCCCATCAAGATTTTTCCATTCTAATGTAAAGCTAAAATTTACCACTCTCCTTCAAGATTTACCTTTTTGATGTTATTTAGCATTGTCATTTTGCTAGAGGCAAATTCAGGAACCTTTAGATTCTTGCTACTGAACAAATTACACATTTAAAATCATGGGTTTAAAATTTACTATTTTTTTTCAATTTTAGTGATTTTTACATATATATTTATATTTCAAAAGTTGAACATGTTAATTATTATATGCTACATCGGCCATTGACCTTCATTTTCTCATATGGGTGCAGTACCTGAAAGCGAACAACACTCTGCAACCATTATTCACAAACGTGAGAACAAACGGATACAGTGGAACTACAGGGCTTGCACCAAACACGCCTGGTGGCAAGACAGTAGGGAGATGGTTAAAGGAACGGAGAGAAAAAAAGAAAGAAGAGAGCAGAGCCCAGAACGCACAACTTCATGCTATTGTTTCAGTAGCAGGAGTAGCTGCTTCTGTGGCTGCAATTGCTGCAGCCACTGCAGCAGCATCGTCCACGGGCAAAGACGAACAAATGGCAAAGACGGATGCAGCTGTTGCTTCGGCAGCAATGCTGGTAGCTGCACAGTGCGTGGAGGCTGCTGAAGCTATGGGAGCTGACCGTGATCATCTTATGTCAGCAATTAGTTCTGCTGTAAATGTTCGTTCTCATGGGGATATATCAACTCTTACTGCCGCTGCTGCCACAGGTGACTTAAACATTTCATATGAAAGCAGAGTCACCATTGTTTCATTAGCTAATTTACAATTTTAAACTTCGACTGGATAATTACTAAGGTAGTTTGACTATTAAATCTTTTAAAGACTGGATTTTAATGCTGTAACACATCGTCGGTTATATAATAGTGGTAGTTATACATGTCACAAAAGTTGATAAATCATTTATCCTCTTGACTTTTAGCCCACCGCAACACTAAAACCTGAGCTTCTATGATCAAGTTTAGCTTCTATACACTAACACTACAAACAATTTTTACATCATCCAAAAAGTAAATACACGTAATCGTTTATAAAAAGTACTCCTATGACCGGTGGCGAAACTAAGAATTTTTTCAAGGATATTCAAATTTGAAAAAAGTAAAAAAAATTTCCGATAAGGGGTGTTCAATATGTGTTATATACCTCTAAAATGTAATATTTTACTTTTATACAAGTGTAATTTTTCGACGAACCCTTATGACGCCACTGCCTATGACTAGTAACCTAAAAAGCAAAACAGATTTATAAGCTACACCATTTAGAATACACTATAGGTGTAATAGTTATTTACATTATCATCGTATATAAGTTAAAGTCCAATCTCATATAGTCCTATTTTTATTTTCAGCTTTACGAGGAGCTGCGACATTAAAGGCTAGGGCACTGAAGGAAGTATGGAACATAGCTGCAGTAATTCCAATAGAAAAGGGAATTGGTGTAGGCACAGTTCGAAACAACGATCAAACTCAAACTAATAGCAATAATTACTGCGAGGGACTTGACATTGAAGAGAACTTTTTGGGTGTTTGTAATCAGGAACTGTTGGCTCGGGGCCGCGAACTTCTCAAGCGAACGCGTAATGGTAAATTGCACAAGTCCCCTGATATCCAATGCACAAAATTTTCTGTCCATATTTTTCTGATGCAGCTGTCTATTTGTTGGTTTCAGGTGATCTTCACTGGAAAATAGTCTCTGTCTATGTTCATCGAAGTGGAGAGGTAAGCATAGGAAATTTGCCTTATTATCTTTTTAAGTGACCATATAACGTAAAACATATATATTGTTAGTGTTAATATGTATAAAAAAGTAATTAAGTCTTTATGTTTCCCTATTTCACAGGTGATGCTGAAGATGAAAAGCAAACATGTGGGAAAAACTATCACCAAGAAAAAGAAAAGTACGTCCTAATAATTTTGATATGTTAGCAAAACAACTTCCATATATACTATATATAGTAATTGGGAAACCCAATTAATGACTTGAAATTTTCTATGTGGGTGCATGCAGATGTAGTACTAGAAGTTTACAAGGATGTACCAGCATGGCCAGGAAGGCATTTACTTGAGGATGGTGAGAAACGCCGATATTTTGGACTAAAGACAGAAGTACGAGGTGTGGTTGAGTTCGAATGCAAAAATCAAAGAGAATATGAGATATGGACTCAAGGTGTTTCAAGACTTCTCTCTATGGTGGCTGAGAGGAAGAAGAGATTTCAGAACTAATTAATTAAATGCCAAAAATTCACTTCTTGAAGTGAGTACACGATCGATCAGTTTTAATTAGGTACTATTACTTACTTACGTACTAGTCAGTGAGAACCAGTGTATTAATTAGATGAAGGTAGAATGTATAAAAGTTTTGATGTGCTTGTGAAAAACATTCTAAAACTTATCCATGTATTATAAGTATTCTCTTTGTTTAGACCTCGAAAAATATTGTGATTCCTAGCACAAATTGTTTATTAAGATGTAGGGCACTATCAATTGTTCATTAAGATGTGTAGGGCAACCTTTTTTGACCTGTCATATTTCAAACGGGAAGGGCTAAAACTGCTCCTAATCTATTAGATTTGGTTTTGAAAATATCGTTTGTTAACCTATTAGACCAGCAAAGCCCCTGCTGTTTTCTTATGGTTTAAAAATGCACTTAAAACTAACTAACTATTTAAAACAAAACGGAAAGGTTCAAAACTTCCTTGATCTATTCGATTTATTTAAAAATATCCCCTGTTAACTCCATATCAAATTAAATAATCCAATCATAAGATTCAAATCCGAATTTGATAACAAAATTTCATACTCGATCTTCTTTTTGGTTATTTAATGTTTGACACTTGGGGAGTTGAGGATTCCTCTTTTTGAATTCTTGAATTGCCACAAGAATATTTTGGATACTAATCTTTTCCATTAAAACTTAAGGCTTATTTCATAGACGATCCCTCACGTTTAGCTTCATCACAATGAGGTTTACTATATTAACTTACCTCTCTTATTTTGATCGTTTATAACAATTCTTTTATTTACATATTTTTAATTAAAAAATACTATTTGACTAATCTGACCCATTTTTTTAAATATCAAATGTACTTTGTTTATGATAATAAAATCGGAAGTCTCGCCTATCTTCCTTGCATCGTCGCTTCAGAGGAGTTTGGAATGGCACCACCACCGCTATTGGACGCCAAAACCGCATTCTCTTGTCCGCGTCCGGTGCTTATTGTTACAAATGGGGTAAACCACAACTAAATAAATACTTGGGCCAGGGAATGAGTTACGCACGGGTCAGAATGTGAACCATTCTAATAAGAGGTTATTGCACTACAATTGAAATCCAGGTTAAGGTACATGTGTCAAGGAATTACCGGATAAGGGAAGTGTAGGGGTATGCGCAGAGGCGGAGCCAGGATTTAAAATTTATGAGTTCATGATTTTAATTATTTTAAGTTATTGGGTTCTAAATTAATAATTTGTACATATTCAATAAATTTTTAAAGACAAATACATTGATTGGACGAAAGCGATTGGATTCCGTCAAACCCGTACTCAATGGACTAGCTCTGTCCCTGGCTATGCGAATAGAAGGCTTTTCTTTATTTTGGCTTAGCTCTTGTTGGAGCACTCTCTTCTTTTTCATTTTCCTCTTTTAAGTTTTCATTTTGTTGTTGCTACTTTGAGAGTTTGGTTTAGATTTGTAATTCTATTTTTTGGTCGGATCCACTACAATGGTGCTCTCGTTGCTCGTACTCCACGTCTCTGGACTCTTATGCCATGATCTATACTTCCGTCGACACCATACGTAATTTAGTGATGGAGATGCAAGATGATAACTCTCGTATGCTCTCTTCTATTTACCGTATGCAGTCAGTGCTGTACGAAATGCAATTAGACTCCACGAAATTCGTTGATGCTCCAGAAATTTCAGATGCTGCAGCTATCACCTCTACACTAGACTCGGTTTTGGCCGATACAAACACCAAGGTGGCCAATATCCTGAAATCACATATGGATTTACAACTTCCTGTCCTTTCTGTTGGCGATACAATACCCAAAACAGTGATTTTCGACGACGTGCCATGTGCTTCTATTGCCATAACGCGGCTTGCATCTTCACCTTTATCATTCTTAGTAAAGGGACCGAGTCTTCCACTCAAAGGCTACGGACAGGAGCTTGACATGGAGTTTGGCTACAAGGTGTTCGATATATTGCCGAAGAGGGACATTTTTGCAGCTTTTCGTGGTCCTAATAGAGCTATTAGTTCACTTCCATATGATTTTGGCTTGCCCGACTGCAAGTGGGTTGATACTGGGCAAGTAAGTGCTTTGGATGATGCAAAAACAGAGGAGACTACTCTGGAAGACACAGTGGAGAGTGTTATCAACAGCTGTGAAGAGCAGACAGCTGCACATGTCATTATTAATGTGATTGAATCTGCCGTGGATTATGCAAATTCAAGCACTGCGGACAAGATGTTCGACGAAAATGTCCAAAGAAATAACGATGACACGCTTAACCCATTCCTCCATAAGGACTCATTTTTATTTCTCAGGGTTCTCTGGACTGTTTAATTCCTATTGTGACTGCAAATTTCTTTGGAAATGAACATTTCACTACAGACTCCTTAAAGCTTCGCACTCAAAATGATCCCAATAGGAGAGAAAATCTTGGAACTTTGGGGAAGTATGGTATGCTACTTGTTGGCTATGGAAAGTCTTGGTGGCTCCAATAGAACTTTGGCTCTCACGTTCACTATTGGTTTGACACCGGGCAGTTGATCGTTTTTGTTGGTGATGGATATAGAAGGAGTACACACTCAGTGTACTTCGTTGTCGAATCAAGCGTAGCTGGCTCAGAATTTTGGCGGAGTATGGTTTCCGTCTTTGCTTTAGTTTGTTCGATTGCTTCCACTAGCCACGCAGTGGATAAGTACTTCATCAACTCTTCTACAGATTCATATTCATTCTCTGCGATATCTTCAAGTGCTCGTCCGCGCCGCCTACTTGACAAAGTTGTATACCTTGCTTTGCTACTCGACAATGACCTGTATACTTGCTCCTTGGCATTCACTAGTGTGCTATCTCCTGCAAATATCATTTTTCCTATGCCACATGTATCTGCCAATTCTCAATACTCTTTCGTAGAACATGGGCAGAGTTTTTTATTTCAAAACCTCTGTGCAAAGGTTGTTCTACCCCTTTTTCCAAATATGAATCAACACACACAAGACACAAACTTCTGCTGCAATATTTCTTTTGCCGCGTTGGATGCATCAGATGACATGGAGTATGCGCGCCAACTTTTGGATCAATTATCTGTCAGAGTAATGATTGGAGAAACATGGGTGCTAAATCGACACTTGCCGTGGCTTCAACCAGCCTTTGGTTTCCCGAGTTGCACTTGGTTTGGTACTGGGCAGAAAGATTTGGCACGACTTCTTTGTGCAGGTCAAAGGCTTATTGGTGCAGTAGATCAATCTATATTAGTCGGGGAACAATCTGGGCTCGTTGAGCTCATTGATTTCACTCATCTTCATGGGACAAATGTACAACTCCATGATGTTGCAATACTCTATTGGTTAGCTTACTCACGACAAGTTGTTACAGTGCAACATGTCCATGCTTTTCACGACAAGCTTGTTAAGAGTTGCCGAGATAATGAGCAAGTGTTTGAGGTAGAATACATAGATGCTAGTTGGATTGATATACCTCTAGGCGCTGTGAAAGTTTATTTCCACCATGCTCTATCTTATACCTATTTTAATCTTGGTGATGTCCTAAATGACAAAGTTTTGTACTCTAGAAAGGTAATTTTGTTTAGTTCTTGCATATTTGAATCAGTGAACTCTGCTACCAAAATGGTTTTGAGGGGGAAAGCAGATAACCATGTTTCAGAGGAGCTTATTTTCCTGATGCAAAATTCAAGTCATCATGTAGATACTCCTAGAAGTTCTAACAAATTCTTGACGCTGATTGGTGATCTCTCGAATTGCTCATTCAAAAACTATATTCTACATGTACATGTTTTCTTTGGCTTGATGAAGGAATGGTTTCTGGAACTGCAAGAGCACTTGGAAAAATATTTACATGCTCGTTTTGCCTTTGGGATCAATCTGCTAGGCTCAAGAAACCAGATATACTGCAACTGGTGCACAACTTTCAATCAGATAATCAATGAATTCGTTTCTTGTATTTCATGCAGGTATCGTGATATTCGCTTTGACGACTCTAAAATGTTCCGAACCGATATGTCTTGTTTGCCTGAAACTAGCGTTGAGCTTGAGGTACTTGATTTCTTTGAGAGCTCTGTGCAAATAAGAAAAATTACAATTCCATATATGCCCTCTTTCCTATATTGCCAGAACCTTAAGATATTTTATTTATCAATTCACATGAGTGTTATTGACAACACTACCTTACAGTCACCTCTATGGATCATTTTAGGTGCTTCCTACATTATTAGCCTAGACCTCTCTCTATTGGACCATACTGACAAACCAGAGCTAAGTGCTAAACTTTTTCATGTGTTGAGTGGTGTACTTCATTTTCTTGACCAGAGTTTTGTTTGTTCCTCAAATCAGTTTCCATCCATGGCTTTCAATTTCCTTGTTGTTGTGTACCTTGTTAAGCTTAGATTTCTTCTTGAATTGGGTGCTTTGACTGCTGGAATAGATTGCCCATTACTGCTGCTACTCCCTTTTCTCTTTATCTTGCAAGGATTTGAAGCATATGTTGGAGTCATGTTGCTTCAGACAACACTCATTGGTTTTTCAAATGCTGGACATATACTTGCTTTGATTCTTGAAGAAACCAGGGAAATATATTTAGTTATTGTAAGATCATCCTTGTATTGTGGAAAACGAGTTGCAAATGATGTCTGGAGCTTCCTTCTAGTACTGTTTTCAATTTTCCCAATAGAACACCAGGATTCATAATCCATAATCAAGGGACGAAACAAGAAATTATCATGATACTAACGTACTTTGGGATATCATTTGCAACCATATTGAAGAGCCAGACATCAACATTTGTTGGTTGCAAGATTCTTGACTTGAACATTGAGGACAAGGTTCTTTTCGAGGGCGGGAGAATTGTTACAAACGGGATAAACCACAACGAAGTACTTGGGCATGGGAATGAGTTACGCACGGGTCAGAATGTGAAACATCCCAATAAGAGGTTATTGGACTACAATTGGGATCCAAGTTGAGGTACCTGTGTCAAGGAATTACCGGACAAGAAGAATTATAGTTACTTTAACTATCAGCTCATGGAAGTGTAGGGGTATGCGAATAGAAGTCTTTTCTTTATTTTGGCTTAGCTCTTGTTGGAGCACTCTGGAACCTCCCTCCATTCTTCTTTTTCATTTTCCTCTTTTAAGTTTTCATTTGGTTGTTGCTACTTTGAGAGTTTGGTTTAGATTTGTAATTCTATTTTCTGGTCAATACAATATGGATCCACTACAATCGGGATATCTCTGCTTGATAATACAATCAAAAGATATCATTTTACAGAAATATTATAATTTGAGCTTTATTTTAATTTCATATTATCATTGTGTTTAGCCTCAAAATTGGATAACAATTAAAGTTATAAGTGGTTTTAAGGATACACAGATTAATTCGATACAAAGCAATATATTGAGTTGCTATTGAATAAATAAAGACAAAATAAATTCAAACCACACGAGTTGGATAGTTTCAGCCTTGATAAAATAGCCACTCTCGAACCGAGCTCAGCAACAGCGGTATAGATGAAAAAGAACTAGAGCCGGAGACAAAGAAAATAATAATATAATTGCTTTTGAGTGCGTGTTACAATGTGTTTCATGAATTATCAGACCTCATTTATATAGTAGGGGAGTCCTATTTTAGGTACAACTCTATAAAAGGTAAATTTTTTTTGATTCACTGATTGCCAGTTCCTTATCGATACATGCCGAGATCCCCGTCGTAATATTCGGCTGGTCACGGATATTTCGGCCTTCTGTTGGCTATGCTGGATTGTCTCACAATGTTCTTCGAAGTCGTTCGAGGCTAGGACCGATTTCGGGACCATGGCTTCGATATTTTTGAAGGCAGACGTCATGCCCCCGGGTTCTGGCTCGGTGGGACTTTGGCTCGATTTCGGTCCTTATTGCCATGTCTCGAGCCTGACTTATTTTGTTGGAGGCTAGGATGCACCATGAGCTCGATTTCATCCGTATACAGATAGTCCCCTCGTTTTTCGGAGAGTAAACGACGAGAAACGACATGAGCTTCCGATTCTTACTTCGATACGCCGTGACAGAAACGACAAAACAATCGAAATGTCTCGTCAGTCAAGCCATAATGGCATTAAATGCATGTCAGCCGCCGTTCGGCCATCCATGGATGCCAAACGCCGTTGAACTACTATAAATACCCCCTTCTTTGTTCATTTTAACTTTACATCCAAACCTTCTACCCTCGTACCTTTAAGATTTCGATACTCTTTAGCACTTTTACCCCGGTTATTCGAGGCCCTTTGCAAGAAGTTTTACCCATCTTCATCCCAAGCCAATAAGTCTAATCCTTCAACTTCCTTTCTTTCTTCGCCTTTTCTTAGATTTTCCTCCATTTTCTAAAGAAATGGCAAAGACTTCCAAAACTGTTCCCCAGAAAGAAGCTCCTTCTACTTTACGGCCGGCTACTGAGGCCGAGGAGACCGTTTCGCACGCGGCCGTCGATGAACCAGTACCTGAACCCCTTTTGAAAATGTTCATCCCCGGGAGATGCTCGGTCAATGTCGATTTCACGGTCGAAAAGCCTTCCTCCATACAGGGCCAGTGCGAGGAGGTCTGGAGATACATCTGCTAGATTACCAAAGAGGTCCTCCCTACGGTCCGAAAAGATTGCAACTGGGCCGATAAAGACATAGGGATCCCCGACTCCGATGAAGCCATTGCCACCTATGTCGAGGGATACTTAAGTGTTTACACTTATCCCTTTACACTAGGCCCGTGTACCCGGTCATTTTAGATTTTTGCAGAAGGTACAACGTGTGCCTAGGCTAAATTCATCCATCCAGATCGTGATCCTCCTCCGATTCTTTGTGAACAAAATCGATGGGTGCTCGTTCACAATCGACCATTTTCTTCGCTTATATAGTCCCCGAATCTTCCGGGGGACTGATAAAGCTTGTGCGTTGGGCCAGTAAAGCCCCGTTCTCAAGTATTGATGAGGACCGGGATTGAAGCTGGCAAGGCCATTTTGTCCGAGTGAGGACTTCAGACTTAATCCCAGTTGAGTGCAGGCTATTCCTCGAGAAGTGGAATACATCACGTAAGTATAACTTACTTTCGAGTGTCTATTTTATACTTACTTCTTTTTTTCTTATCTATGCTTTGTGGTGGTGCAACCGTCGCTCAGGTCCCAAATACTGTCCCTCGACTCAAGGAGTGGGTCGAGGGTATCGTATCACATATGCCCTACTCCGAGCGCTCGTGGCGCAAGCTCTCGAAGGGCCATTGGGAGGCCCGTTCCCATGATGAGGCTTCTTTCCCGAGTAGGTAGTATTAGGATTCTCCTTTTAACATTAAGCCCTTACTCCTTTTACATCCTTTTGCAGCTTTATCCAATGACGTCAAGCTGATACCCCCGGTCGGTGGCGAGGACTTTCCTACCGAGTCCCCTACTCTGACACATGCCAAATAGAAGAAGAAGAGGAAGAGGGATCCGAGTTCCCCAAGCTCGGAGAAAAAGAAAACAAAGAGAAGGCTAGTGCGCAAGTCAAAAGAAAACACTAGCACCCGAGCACCAGCTTCAGATTTGCTTTATCGGCTGAGGGACAAATCTGAAGAAGAAGAAGAAGAACCCTTTGTTCTAGTGGCCCGCGAGCCTTCGTAACTCGAAAAGCAGGGGGCCTCTGAACCAAAGATCCGTGAGGCCGATCTGCCTTAAGCAAGGGAGGTTGATGAGGAGACCAGGGCCGAGGCTTCCCAGGATGCGGGAGGCACTTCAGTGTGATAGACATCACCGAGTCACCCTCGTTTATTGAGTCCATGTATAACGAGGCACAGATGGTAAAATAGCTCCCCAACGAGGGGGCCCACGGAGCGGACAACCCCCTCCGCTGCTTTTTTGATGGCGTGGATTCCACCGCCACGGAAGACGTCACCGGATTGGGTGACATAGAAGTACCAAGGAAGAGTACATCCTCGGGGGAAGGTGGGCCTAACCGACACTGATCAATCGGTTCCCCGCCCCGAGTGTGGATCCTAATCGGAAGTGTTCCATTGTCATCACCGTTCCGCCCCCCGTAAGGGTGGCCAGTTACCTCCGGTGCCTGGAGACCGAAGAAGACTAAACCAAAACGAATGAGGTAGATGCGCCCTGCCTGTTCAACAAATCACAACAGGCGCTGAAACGGGTAACTTTAGATAACTCTCGATGATTTCAATTTCTCCTCTTATACTTGAACTAATTCATTGATAATCCTAATATTTTTCTTCATATTTTTAGGCCTTGGTGCTTCACCACAAAACTTTCCTCCGGTATCGGGTTGAGCTGAACTAACTCGAAGCCGAAGTCAGAGGGATTACTGAGAAAAGAGACACGTACAAACTTCTCAGCGAGCAGCGTGAAGGAGAGGCTAAAAGCCTTCGAGCTGAGTTGGAAGCGCATCAGAAAGAACATGCCGACCTGGTGGAACAGGTAATAATCTTTGAAGTTAGTGACAATGAGCTAGACATGGTGACTAATGGTCGGAACCCGCAGGTCCAATAGAAGATTGATCAGATCGACCAACTCCAATCCGAGATAGATGCAGTTAAGGTTGAGGCCGAAGAGTGGAGAAGCATGATAGACTGTCTGGCCTCAGAAAAGAAGAATGTCCAGGCACAGTTGATCTCGGCAGAGGCCTAGCTTCGAGTGACGAGGAAGAAAGCTGAGGCACGGTCCCAAAAAATTGAGGAGCTCCGGTCTCAGCTAAGCTCAGCTGTTTCTGATCGAGAGACCTTTGACAAGAGATTAAAGCGGCCAAGTCGGCGGTTGATATGATCAAAGCTGATGTCGATGAGATGGTGGCCCAGTATAAGGACGATGCCGAGGCAGCCCAGGACCGGCTGAAAGATATCGTCAAATGTGTGAAGTGGCAGTCCCGAAGGGAGGCCCTCGAGGAAGTTCATGCTTGAGGTTTTGATTTGTCGACTGAGGTCGAATGTTCTAAGGGGCTCAAAGCCGAGGCCAAGAAACTGGTGTATACCGAGGACNTATATTCCCTTCGATAGTTTTTAAGCTTGTTTCCTTTCGCTTTTTTCTTTTTGATTGTATCGAATGCCTTAGCACGTGATAATTAGGTCTTGTTCGGAGGTTCGAACATGCCTTGCTCTCGATATTATTTTGTTTAAGACTCGTGGGGGGATCGGTATGACTGGAAGCTTTCTCCAAAGTACTTAGAATCTTTTAGATTATAATTTGCCGAGGGTAGCCTTTTGAACCGGTTTAGAAATTACGGGTCTCGGACGTCTACGTGCCGTTTTAAGACGGCCGTAGCCTTTCTAGTTCGGGTGTTGTCCAGTGGGCTTGTTACCCCGAGTCATCCGGGCTTAACCGAGATAAGTGTCCCCGAATGGGGGTAGCCATAGCCTTTAAAGTTCGGGCACTACCAAACAAGCTTTGTGCCCCCAGGCTTCATTATCCCGGGCTTTTAGAACCTGCCTTGGGCGGCAGTCCCCGAATGAGGTGGCCCTTGGGCTCGATGTCTTTAGGGGATCAAATGTAAGAAAGAAAAATTTTCTAGAGGAAAATATATTTATCCGCAAGGTAGAAACTTTC